CTACCAATCTCCGGTCACTGTCGCTGAAGACTGCTCTGCTTCTGGCACTAGCATCGGTAAAGCGAATAGGAGACCTGCAGGCACTTTACATTAGCCCTGCCTGCCTGGAATCTGGGCCTAACTGAGAACTAAGGCATGGTTACGTACCCAAGGTTCTCTCCACTCCATTCAGAGCACAGGTCATTGCGCTCTCTATGCTTCCTCCCTCTGAAGAGGACAGAGAGTTATCCCTGCTCTGCCCCGTCAGAGCTCTAAGAATTTACATTGAGCGTTCCGCCCCCTTCAGATGGTCGGAACAACTCTTTGTTAGCTTTGGTAACCGCACCAAAGGGTATCCGGTCACAAAGCAAAGACTCTCTAGATGGATAGTAGACGCTATCACTCTAGCATACTCGTCATTGGGCCTACAATGTCACATCGGAGTATGGGCACATTCCACCAGAGGCATCGCCTCGTCTTGGGCATGGTCTAGTGGTGTGTCCATTGCGGAAACCGGCTGGGCCTCGCCATCCACATTTGCTAGGTTTTATAACCTGGAAGTCCCGGCCTTACAGGCCAGGGTCAGAGCTCTAAGAATTTACATTGAGCGTTCCGCCCCCTTCAGATGGTCGGAACAACTCTTTGTTAGCTTTGGTAACCGCACCAAAGGGTATCCGGTCACAAAGCAAAGACTCTCTAGATGGATAGTAGACGCTATCACTCTAGCATACTCGTCATTGGGCCTACAATGTCACATCGGAGTATGGGCACATTCCACCAGAGGCATCGCCTCGTCTTGGGCATGGTCTAGTGGTGTGTCCATTGCGGAAACCGGCTGGGCCTCGCCATCCACATTTGCTAGGTTTTATAACCTGGAAGTCCCGGCCTTACAGGCCAGGGTCCTTTCTTCTTGAAGAGACACGCACTGCGTTACGCAAACAAGCCTGATAGAGAGCCCTTGACCGTATCACGCTCAAGCTCTCTGGTTTTAGTTTACTTGTCAGCTCTCAACTCCTGGGGTGCCGAAGTTGCATGAATACTCTGGAACGATTAACCAGGCCGGGCGTGACCTCAGGGAGTTCAGCTCATTTTAGCCTTGGGTTATTGTTAACTTCCCTATGGGCATTACTTGCTTATGGAAGTTATAATACTTAATAATACTTATAATAGGTTACCATGGCGTATGCTCTGCTGCAACAGCACGGCTTGTTTGACTCTGTTTAACTCGTTTATTAATGTAAAGTGTATGCATTTGTGTTTCTATGTTTTTTTTTCTTTTTATGTTAAGTTATACTCGGCTGGATGAGCAATGATCCATCGTTACTATGTGATTGTTATTGTCCTAATCTTAACGGCATGGCTGATCTGCAGGAATCATGCACACCCGACAGATACTGGCAACAGGTTACTCACCTATAGCCGTGATGTGCTTTTATTACACCGGTCCTCATTGCTGTGTAACATCAAGCCTGATGTGGTTTTACCACCGGAGCTTCGGCCGAGGAGAAGAGGAAGATGTGGGGGTATTCACAGCAGAATTAGGAAACGTCCATTTAAACCTCCTTTCCCCTCCATTATACTATCATACGTACGTTCACTCCTCAATAAAATTGATTTTTTACATGCCAGGTGTCGATTGGAAAGGGCCTTAAGGGATATTTGCATCATCGCCCTGTCAGAAACATGGATATACCCGTCAGTCTCTGATGCTGAAGTCAGCCTGGACAACTTCACAAGAATCAGGGCAGACAGAACCGAGCAATCTGGGAAGATGCGCGGCGGTGGAGTGTGCTTGTACATTAACAACAGGTGGTGAAATAACATCAAAGTACACCACAAGTCATGTACAGCCGACCTGGAGATACTAGCTGTGTCCCTTCACCCCTACTATTTGCCTCGGGAATTCCCTGTTGTTGTGGTCAGCTGTGTTTACGTTGCCCCCAGCGCTAACATCAATACAGCAGCTGAGCTCATAGCCGGGGATGCTAACGACAAGCTAGCTAAGTATCCCGGTGCTCAGCTGTTCATTCTGGGGGACTTTAACAACTACAAGGTGGACTGTGTATTGCCATCATTCCAACAGTATGTGGACATCCCCACTAGGTGGGCAAACATCTTGGACATGTGTTATGGCAATGTGACCAATGCATTTCGTACCTGTTCCTATCCACCGCTGGGAGCTGCCGATCATAACATCATCTCCCTATTCCCGCTGTACAAACAACAACTGAAACGACATAGTCCACAATGCTACAGTGCCTCACAGTGGTCAGGGGATGCCATCACCCGCTTACAGGGTTCCCTGGCATGCACTGATTGGGACATTTCTGATGGGAATTTGAATGACAAAGTTTCTGTTATTACTGATTATATAAACGTTTGTATTAGCACGTGCATCCCTGTTAAAACAGTAAGGAAATATCCCAACTCCAAGCCATGGATTACCCCCCAAATAAAACAATGCCTTAAAGAAAAAAATAAAGCCTTCAGAGAGAAGAATTGGGTTAACTTGAAATTGGCAAACCGCAAAATCAAGAATGAGGTACTCAGGGCAAAACTGAAGTACAAGGACAGATTGGAAAATTAGTTTTCCAATATGAACACAAAGCAAGTGTTTCAGAAAGTACGGACAGAATGTGAATTTAGAACTACTTCTTGTGCAAATTCTGCAACAGATCCAGCACTATTTGTAAAATAACTCAATGCATTTTATGCCAGTTTTGACAAGCAGGATTTTTCAACTGAATGTGAAAAACTTTTTAGAGCCCTCCCTCCTCCAGACCCTGATGAACCATCCCCCTTCAGTGTGGAAGATGTGAGGTGTCAGCTCAGCAGATGTAAGCTGGGCAAGGCCCCGGGTCCCGACGACATCTCAGCACAGGTGCTGAGGAACTGCGCTCAAGAGCTCTCACCTATTTTTCATTTACTCTTCAGTGAGGCCTACTTCACTGCCACCATACCTTACATCTGGAAAATGGCCATCATAATCCCTGTCCCCAAGAAGCCACGGCCCATGGAGCTCAACCACTACTGACCTGTTGCCCTCACATCTATAATTGTGAAATGCCTGGAGAAGCTGTTGCTGAAAACCATCTTTCCATCAGTCAATTTACAACTGGACCACATCCAATTTGCCTATAAGGCTAAAAGGGGCACAGAGGACGCTCTAGCCCGTCTGCTGCATCTCCTCCTTCAGTATCTGTATTCTCCTGGCAACTTTGCTAGGATACTTTTTGTGGACTTTAGGTCTGCTTTTAATTCCATCCAAAGGCATCTGATGATTCAGAAGCTGCATCATCTCAATATCCCCACTCAGTTGATTCATCTTATATACAATTTCCTTAGCAACAGGCAGCAAGTAGTTCGGCTGGGCTCGACCACACCTTCTCTCACTATCAACACTGGAGCACCGCAGGGCTGTGTGATAAGTGCTTTCTTGTACACACGTCACACAAATGTCAACATCAGTCCATCACCCAGTATAAAAAAATACTCTGATGACACAGCCATTCTTGCCCTGCTCAAAGACAACAACTCCGTTATGGACTATCACACCACTGTCACGCACTTTTCCAGTGGTGAGAGGATAATCATCTGAATCGCAACGTCAGCAAGACAAAAGAGCTGATAGTCAGTCCCCCTTCACCTCAACATCCTATTGTTATTCATAATCAAACAGTTGAAATAGTGGACAGTTTCAAATACCTCGGAGTAACATTGGACAATACACTTGCTTTTGATCAGCACATTACGGGCAATCAGAAAAGATGTCACCAAAGACTGTCAGTCATTCATTAACTCAAAATGACTTAATCTTGCTCCTCGATTATTATTGCTACTATATCAGAGCATAATTCAGCCAATTCTATTGTATTGTTTTACCTGTTTTTTCAACATGCTTTCTGTTAAAAACCGGACCAAACTCACAAAGGTGTCCAATATTGCTGCGCAAGTTATAAGTCTTTCAACACCCAACCTCACCGAACTCAATAACAGAGCTATTATACGCATTGCAACTTCAATAGAACAGGACTCCACACATCAACTTAATGAGTATTGAGCCCCACTGCCCTCAGGGCGCAGGTACAGGGCTATGAGGTGCAGGATGGCCCATTTTGGAAGAAGCCTGATTCCTTCAGCTATCACATATCTCAACAACAGACATCGCTGAGGGTTATCTTAAGTGTTTTTTTGTATTTTTTGTATTATGTATGTTATGTTGTGTGTGTCAAACAAGTGCAGTGCTGTGGAAAATAATTTTCCCCTTAGGGACAATAAAGTTAAAGTTAATTAGTTATTTAGTCGTTCCTCTACCTTAGCACAGCGTGATTGTACTATGTTCCCATAGTGTCTTTAGCAGACGCAGTACGAGTGAAGTATCAATAGGGAACGTACTCCGTTACTAACGTAACCTCGGTTCCCTGAGATACGGGAACGAGCACTCAGTGAGAGCAGCTGAGAAGATCGTTGGTGCCTCTCTCTCTCTCCCCTCCCTTCAGGACATCTACAACACCCGTCTCACCCCTCTTTAGCAGACGCAGTACTCGTTCCCAAATCTCAGGGAATCGAGTGCGTTATTATGTGTTGGTGTGGATGCTAATATAATTATTGTTATAATTATCATACTTGGTGTGAACAGCCCTTTGGTCAGCATGTTTTGTATGGAAAATAGGAGCATGAGCATGCTTCAGGATTTCCCTTTTCATCCCGTTTCCTAAAATGCCATTGTCAGATAAAGTCACAATAGCAAGAAAGTAGCAATTACAGGCAGCTTCCACAACTAACCTGTTTAACAAATGTGCTCTAAATCTGAAAGACATTCTCCAGTACCAGCAACATCTCACATATAGTTTCTTGGGCAATAGTATGAAATTACCTGCTCACGTTATTTGCTTTCCTTGCTATTTATGTCCATATTTGCTAACTTAACGTGAACTGAGATTGCTTAAATCAGCTCTGAGATAAACCAGGAGACTACGTCACATAATAACTACTGGAGAGCAGTATGGCATCAAACTGACCTATGTAAGGGGGTCTGATTGGCTCCATCCCTGATGTTGATGATGTCTTCCACTTTGTTGAAAGAAGAAAGCATGATTTTGACGGCTTCCAGAGCACCCTGAGTGCAGGCAAAGTGGAGGGCCGTGGATTTGTCACACTGCAAAACAATCAAGCCCCACACACAGACACTGAGATGGAAGTCAGCTATTAGCTTGACATAAGTAGGAAAGGCAGGGTCAGGTAATGCAAGAGGGGGGCAATTTCTCAGCTGCTGCACCAGTAACACAAACCATTAATGAGAGAGCACGCTGAATTGCTGTGGCAATGGACAGAACGGCCAAGCTCAGCTATAGACGTAAGTTGCTGCAATTTGTATCAGTTTAACTATCTGAAGCTATTACTGAATGCATCAATCCTGCTGCTACAGACTGAAGACGACAAATGGAGGAGTGTGAGTGTGTTTGTGTCTGTGTGGTCAAGATCGAGAGCCAGGAAATCAGGCTGCTTTTGTATTCATTGCAGGCTACATTCTTCTGACTGCATTTCATGAAAATGAATAGGTCGACATTAGGCAATTTTCTTATATTTGCATCCCTGATGTTGATGATGTCTTCCACTTTGTTGAAAGAAGAAAGCATGATTTTGACGGCTTCCAGAGCACCCTGAGTGCAGGCAAAGTGGAGGGCCGTGGATTTGTCACACTGCAAAACAATCAAGCCCCACACACAGACACTGAGATGGAAGTCAGCTATTAGCTTGACATAAGTAGGAAAGGCAGGGTCAGGTAATGCAAGAGGGGGGCAATTTCTCAGCTGCTGCACCAGTAACACAAACCATTAATGAGAGAGCACGCTGAATTGCTGTGGCAATGGACAGAACGGCCAAGCTCAGCTATAGACGTAAGTGGCTGCAATTTGTATCAGTTTAACTATCTGAAGCTATTACTGAATGCATCAATCCTGCTGCTACAGACTGAAGACGACAAATGGAGGAGTGTGAGTGTGTTTGTGTGGTCAAGATCGAGAGCCAGGAAATCAGGCTGCTTTTGTATTCATTGCAGGCTACATTCTTCTGACTGCATTTCATGAAAATGAATAGGTCGACATTAGGCAATTTTCTTATATTTGTCTCCGAACTTATCAGTTAGCCTCAGTGCGGTTTAATGTATCAAAAAGCTTCTACAGAAATAAGTCTTGATGATAATGGGCTCATGATTATATTACATAAATTTGCTGACTATCTTATTACTGCTGTAGGAGGAGTTTTGATAAAACATGTTTATGACAAAATTCATATCGGTGAAAAATCTAGTCAGTGGAAAAATGGAACCTGAAACCACCGGGTGCACTGGCATGACTTTTGTTTCGAAGCCATTATATGGAAGCTCATTTCCACCCATAAGAAAAAACAATTCCTTGGTAAATCATAATTATGACCATGGGCGACATTAGGGGGGAGGGGAGGGGCTGTTGCCCCATATCGTTCATCTTTCAATCCCTGATGTCAGCCCCACTGCAATTGGAGTAGTTAGCCAAGTCCAGGCCCGGTTCTACAGGGGTACTAGAGGGTGCTAAACAAAAGCAAAAGCAATTGAAGATCTGGCAAACTATCCAGTGTGTATGCGTTTGCGTTCTGGACAGCGAAAGTTCCTATTTACAATGTGTTTGTGCAGCGCTGAGCGATGAAGCTAATCACAGACAAATATATGTTGATTTCTTGAACGCAATGGCCAATCAGAAACTTTTTAGTTTTAGTGATGAAAACAATTGCCATAATTTCAATGTTTTGTCATAATTGTTTTGTCATAATTTTTACTTTTTATGACATAAAAATGACTTATGATTTACCAGAACATGATTTTTCTTATGTAGTGGAAATGGGCTTCTATATTATTTAGTGTGAAAGTAATAAATAGAAACCTAAGTTCAACTTTGAACTGTTGTTGGCATAAGAGGGATTGCGATAAAGGGTCAAGAAAGTCATTTTATAAACAATACTAATAATTAAATAATTATTATATCAGAGGATATAATTATTATATCAGAGGATACTGCTATGACAATCTCACAATGTTTAAAGAGTCTTAAAGGAATAGTTCATCCAAAAATGTAAATTCTGCCGTCATCCATCATCCAATAACCTCACAGTTATTTCAAACTTGTATGACTTTCTGTATTCTGTGGGTAATAAAACAAGATATTTTGAAGAATGTTTGTAACCGAACAATTTTGGTTATCTTTGACTTCCATTTTATGGACAAAAAAACACTGAGACCTTTATTAAAAAAATATTTAATTTTATGTTCCACAGATGAAATAATTAACATTTTTTGGTGAACTATTAGTTTAAGATTCTCTCCAATCAGTTCATAAATTTTTTTTTTTTTACAATACCATACAGTACAGTGGGCTGCCACGGGCTCCCTGCCAAACGAAAAATAAACGTTCTTTTTCATCACAAGCCTTGGGCAATTTGATTACTTTGATCGTTTTAGGTATGCTTGTTAACTTTCATATTTAAAAAGATTTTTTTATACGTCTTGTAACAGCACTTACCTGTTTCTGATCCACTCTGGCTCCTTTAATGATGCAAAGTTTGATCACCTCAATGTTGCCCCCTCGTACAGCCAGATGGAGGGGAGTACTTTTGGTCTTATCCAAACAGTTAATGTGCACTGAAGTGGAAAAGCCCAGTTCTTCTCCTTTATGAGGGTGAGAAACAGAAGAGATGAGTTCAGCTTAATTTTTCCATACTTGTCAATTAATTTGAGGAATAAAGCATCAAAATAAAACTGTCATAATTGATTTGCCTCACGTCTTACCAAACATGTACACTGAAAGGAGCCAAAATGACAAAAACAAACAAACAAAAGGTGTTTCATACAACTCATGCCCTATATCCCAAGTCTTCTGGAGTCATACGATAGATAATACTTGGAATATAGCCCATGAGGCATATGGACCCCTTTTGCAACTTTTTTGAAGCACCAGTCCTTTTTTTTTTTTTTCTTTTTTTGCATCAAGTCACCATTTATTGGAAATTCATGGAAAAAGAGGTTTACACTATTCAAATTTGCAACAGGAAAATAAAAAAGCAATACTGGTTTAGAATGACATGAGGGTGATTAAATGGTGACAGAATTTTCTTTTTTCAGTGAACTATCAATTGACATTGACTGACATTGGGTGATGTCAAAAACCTCAATCACAATGAAAGCATGACTGCTTTGTTTGGTCACCATGTGACATGCTTGCAAATAGCTCTAGAGGCTGGCAGTCACGTTTGACATGTTGAACCTTCTATTTGTTTGAACTGTTTTGCATTTAAGAATCTGAAAATATTGGACTGTAATGTAAATTAAAACAGTGTCATTTGTCTTTCAGCCAAAGGGAGCTGTCAGAAAACCCCACAAATATTTATATCTGGAACACATCATTCCGGAATAGAAGACCACCCATGTATTGTGCACAGACACAATGCCTGTCTAAACTGCATGGTGAATGGGTTGGGAGTGGATTCATCATGAATTGGTAGAATGAGAATATTAAATTCACTTGCCAATTTTTAAAACCAGCTCCATGGCCTCTTTGGCACCTGCAAAAGCAACCGTATGGATAGCGTAGTGACCCAGTTTGTTCTGAATACACATCTTGGCGCCATGTTTGAACTGTAAGGAAAGAAAATAATCTCATTTATCACACAATATGAGGAAATGAGGATCATGTCAGTCATTTTTTTTGTGTGTTTATTTTAATGGCTCTTTTATACTCACAAGAAACTGAATAGCTTCGCAGTTATTAGTGCAGCAGGCCAGCATCACAGGGGTGTTTCCCAGATCCCCCTGCATATTGGCATCTGTTTTGTCACAGGACTGAAAAAGGACCTGTGCCAGACACAAACAAAATGATCATCAATTTCCGCATGGCATTCAATCAGTATAATTCCTCCAGCATTTCACTCTGACAGAAAGCAGATTCTGCACCGAAGATGCCCTCAAGTTTCCCACTGAGCTGTCCGTATGCTATCCCAGCTAAATCACGCTAAATAAATGTTGTTGAGGATATCAGTATGACTGTGATTCGACTATACACATGAGACCACAGGTAATTACAGAGTGATGATATTGAGATCAACAGCAGGAGTATGAGTGTGACATAACTTCTGTAAACAAGTATATTTTAGACACAACATTGCTTTATCTGTTTTTACTTTAACTAGTGTTATTTTAGAATTATTTATATACAACTATAGTATTTATTAATATTTTAGTGACAATATGGCGGAAGTAGCTCATCCGAATTTCATTCATACTACTCATATTTACATTAGAACATAATTTTTTTATGGTTACAAAGTAAGTTTTAAGTAGGTAAGCAAGAGATTTAGGATGTAGCTAGTGTTTTATGGACGAATCAGTTGTGTAAATGATTCAAATGAGTCACTCATACAGAAAATGTTGTCACCTACTTGCGTTATAATGCAACCTGCAGAAAGAGTAACTGAAAAATCCCCACCCCCAAAACAGACTGCCAGTCTCAAAAACAGAATGATTTCTGAAGGATCATGTGACATTGAAGACTGGAGTAATGACTGCTGAAAATTCAGCTTTGCTATAAAAATAATGTTTCATTTTAAAATATATTAAAATAGAAACCAGTTTAAAAATATTACTGTTTTTACTGTATTTTTTAAAGGAAATAAATACAGCCTTGGTGCATTTATTGGGCAACTTGGACACCTTTGACCAGTACAGTATATCTGATACAGTCTGATGCATATAATGACAAATTATTCAACAGACTGCAAACAGCATATCTACTGCTGCTCTCTGGCCTGACTGTGACACCAGCGGATTCCCAGCAGCATGTTTTACTGACCTCTACTAGATGATTGTATCTCTTTGTGACAGCCAGATGCAGAGGGCCCATCATGGCGCTGTTGAGGATGTTGGGGTCAGCACCCAGCTCCAGCAATAATGCACAGCTGTGCGGTTGATCCTGCTCTACAGCCCAGTGCAGAGGAGTTCTGCCCTGCTCGTCCTGTACATTCAGCTCTACACAGCAAGAAACACTGAATTCATATTGTTGTTGTTGCGGCGTTCTGGACAGTAGTACATTCGGCAAGCGTTCAGATGCAATCAGTGTGATAGCAAGCGACAAGACCACCTTAGGCGGAAAGGTGTGAATAATGACTTCGAAACGAATATCAAATTCTACCGAATAATAGAAAAATAGACTGATCATGCAACAAGCACAGCAATAAAGTAATATTTTTAGTTAACGCGTCTAAAAAAATTACAAAGCAATTGTGAGCATATGAATAAAAATACGCAAGGTGTGATTTCAACTTCAAATTAGTACTTGTAAAGACTAATACTGAAATAAGATATTATATGGCACATATTTTCCACCTTCTTAATTGTCGCCATATATGTTTTAAACTTTCCTAGCGTTAACATGATTGTGTGTCACTTGCCCTCAAGCACGTTGTCACAAATCGCTGTGGGAGGAACAATGGAGACACGGAGAAGCGGTCAGCAGTCTTTAATACTTGAATCACAGGGGTAAATCCACAACAGGAACACGGGAAACACACGACATCCAACAAGTAGACCCGACAGCCACAAACTGAACAGACTGGGACTTTTAAACACAGGGCAATCAGGGGAACACAGG